TCAGGGAATCACATGTAGGCAGTCAGTGTTAGCATATGATGACTTGTTAAAGTTAAACTTGCCAGATGTAGGGTGAATCGTGTGGTATTCTCATTAGTTTGATAATTGTCAGCCTATAGTATCATGTTACTTTTTGTTTTGAGTCATAGGTATACCTGATTTTTTGTGTCTGTTGTTTTAGTGCAAAAAATACCTTAATACATTTTTCAAAACTTGGTGAAATTAACGTTTTTATTCTTTTGTTGATATGAAAGTATATTTTGGACCATTGTCTTATAATTACAAATATGAATTAATCTAGAATTTATAAAAATATTGAATGCATAACAATTGATACTGAATTGTTGTTTTCAAGCATCATATGACTTAACCTTTGGGATTTTAGTTGACCAATGACCAATTATTTAGTTACTTGGAAGTTTAAAGCCAATACCAAGGGCTAGCAATTGAACATAATCATATTGTTTTGTTCATTTTTGTTATATCTGCTGGCTCTTGTGTGTGTATTGCAAGTTACAAGGATTAATAATTCCATTACAGTATTGACAACAACTACTGTTGGTGAAGAGGAAATTCAAGAACATTTTGATAATTTTTTTGAAGATGTGTTTATAGAATTGGAAGACAAGGTAGGTCATAGAATTTTATTGAATGGTTATTTTTCATTTACTATTGATAACAATGAATATAGAGTTGCACAGGAATAAACTGTGGATGTTAGGGTAACATCAGTATTACTGTTGATTAGGGATGCACAGGTACCAGGCCAAATAATTGGCCATGGTTGGGTGTTGGGCTACCCGGTAATACTTGGCTCTGGCTGAGTGTCGAAGTTAGGTATCTAAGCCCTAACGTGGTGCTGAAAGTTACAGTCAATAATTGGTTTAGTTTAAAAAAAAACGTGTTCTGAGCAACAAAGACTGACCGCCTAATGAAAGTCGGGGATTCAGAGAACAATAAGGGTTAATAACAAGCATGGCTTGAGAAGTCTATTTCTGAGGAAGGTGGTGGTTTTGAGAACAATATGGGTTGGGGTTTGAGAAGTTGGAGCTAGGCATTGGAAGTTGAAAGTAAAATTTGAATGCTCTGCAGGTGATTATTTGGTTAAAAGTAATAAACATCAATTTTGTTTTTGTTTCAAATTTTTGTGTATGGGGGGGGGGAGAGAACCCAGTCCTGGCCGAAGCTTAATAACTGGGTACCTGGACCAGGTATTCGGCCAAATTTTACTACCCCTGCATCCCTACTGTTGATGTTTGCTAGGTATATGTTAGGGTAACATCAGTATTGTTATATGTGTTAGGGTAACATCACCAGGCCACCAACAGGGGGGGGGGGCTAGGCGAATGAAGCTTGCAAAGCATCTGTAGGCTATATCTTCATTTAATGATAAAAACCATAGTTTTGGCTTTTCTTTGCATGTGGATGCTTGATACATTAAGAATGACTGAAATAATAATTTGAGTAGTAATTAAAATGTATTTATTACTTTATAGATTTAATAGATATTTGTTGTTACTTTATTACAATTTTTATGCTTATATTGTGAGGTAAAAATGGCTGCTGCTATGATTTTGTCTGGTTTATGAGCTCGTTGCTGTCTTAATTTAGGATATT